GCAAAAAAGCATGTATATACTAAGAAATGTCAAGAAATAAATATAAATATTTCTCTGAAGACAGACTTCAGATTTTTCCCCTTTTGATTTCGTGACAATTGCTTTGCCTAGAAATGATTCTTTTTAAATATTCTGATTAATTACTTCAAACTTTGATCATCTACATTTCTGAGCATGGAAACATTATTTAATATATGCGAACAAACTGTCTGAATTTTGAACACACAGTAAACAAGCAAAAAAGGAAATAAAGAGTTTAAAAGGCTGAGAGACTAGTCACCTTGTTTAACCAGTTCAAAGCATTGAGAGTAGAGCCTCCATTGCAGCCATAATTAGTATACGAACAGTCAATGACCTGCTGGACACTTAGGTCTTCCAGGGGCTTCCCTTTTATTGCATATGCAGATTCCACTGCCCCCACCACGCTGAAGGCCCAGCATCCTCCACACTGTTTAAAAATAGAAAAAGGGGTAGTATTTATAGGGTTTAAATCAACTTCCCAACATCTCTAAATATAACAAGTTACCGAATCAAGTAAGGTTTCCAGATTCTGGAAACCTACACAATATATATGCCTATCCTCTAGGTTTTTAAATTGAAAAAAAGAGAAAACCAAAAGTCTCTTCTGAGCATCATTTAATTATTAGTTCATGTTGTCAGCATTATTACTATTCTAAATTTGGCAATGCAAGGTAAGGGTGAATTTTTAGAGACTGAGGAAATACTTGGGCTAACTGATGATCTTCTAAAAGACTATTCAGTTCACTGAATATGTGACTTCTCTTTGTAGGTGGCTTTTCTGCTGGAGAGCGTGTGCTGACTCCCACTCCATCCTTCCATCCCCCTTGCTTTTTTCAGGACACTTTGCTTCCATGGTCATATACCACTTCCATCCTAAGGGTGAGGAGGGGAAAGATGTATGTTGTGCTCTTTATAGCTGATGGAGATAAGAGAATTAATAAATATTAATGAATTACTTTTTAGGCTATAAAGATACCCTATTAAGTATGCTTATAGTGGATGCACATGAAATGTTCTAAGGATATAAACCCATATTAGTCATTACTCCGGTATTGGCTGCCGATCATGCTGATAGTGGATCTATTAACTTGCTTTCACTTAACAAACTAGAACAAAAGAATAAAAGAACTAGTCCTGAAAGAAAGAGAGGAGACAGAGGGAATGAAATCACGGATCATAGGATCCCGTAAATGGAAGAAGGATCCACAGAGAAGGCAGAGGAGAGTAGATTTGAGATTGGATGAACCTGACATAACCAGAGGGCCATGTGTGGCAGAGTTAGATCAAAAAAAAAAAAACAAAAAAAAAAAGGAATGACAATTGGATATCTTTGCAGAGCTACATTTTGAGCAACTTTATGGCTTTAAGTGCTCTTTTAAAGGTTATATCTCTCGTGCCTATGGCATAGTAAAAACACTCACTATACAGCAGGGTCTCCAAACTTCAACAAAGGTGAACACAGGGTGGCTCACGCCTGTAGTCCCAGCACTTTGGGAGGCCAAGGCAGGCAGATCATGAGGTCAGGAGTTCAAGACGAGCCTGGCCAACATGGTGAAAACCTGTTTCTACTAAAAATACAAAAATTAGCTGGGCATGGTGGGGCGCACCTGTAACCCCAGCTACTCAGGAGGCTGAGGCAGGACAATCGCTTGAACCTGGGAGGTGGAGGTTG